AATCCTGTCAACTTTATAATTTTTGGCATTTCAATAAATAACTATAATCATAAACTTAAACTTGTGCTTGGCCAAGAAATTTCAGAATTTGTTGCGCCATTCTAGATGTGTATGTGCAGAATCAATTATGCAAGACTCAGTTTTTGAAACGCACAATTTTTTGTCACAAATTCAACGCTCGGCCGACGTAACTGTCTTGTAAAAGAAGCATTAATTCGACGAAACACGCGATTGTTTCGCCTAGTAAAAAATTAATTTTAAACTATAAAGTTCCAAGTATTCAATTGTATCATTTCATGCTTACATTATTACATTACATTAACGCGATCCTTCTTACATTATTTTACATTGCAGCCAACTTTCAGGCGTCGCTATTTTTGTCCTGCGATTTTCCTAGGCAGTTTTTGTGTGATTATTCCAACAGTTACTTTTTACACTTTGTGTAGTTAAATTTCGACTAAATTTCATGAATGAATTTATCATTTTGATTTTACTAACAATTCATCTAGAGAAAAATCCTGTTATTCGCGATCCTTCAAAACTTGTCACTTTCATATCTGTTAACAGGGGAGCACCATGTAGTGATTCAGTGCTGGTCAAACCTCCGTTAAATAGGTTTTTTGTGTATTTCAAATTTGTATTTGTTATTCTTTTGAATTATGTATGATTATCGTAATAGTAATTGCTCAGGCTGACCTCCAATACCTATTTTTTTACGTTAATGATTTTTTATTTCTGAACCTACACTGTTATCACCAGTTTGTTCAGTACAAGTCATTCTCCGAGTTATGTTCTTAGTTTTTTTTCTGAATCCTCTGCGTCGTAATTTTATATTTGTGCCTTCATTATCAATTAAGTGTTGAAAACACTAAGGTCACTCCCCTGCTCGGTAAAAATTCGCTTGTCTGGCAGACGCCGTATAGTATAAAAGCCTACTATAACGTCGCCGAAAATGTTGGAATTAGTAGATGAATTAGTAGATGAATTAGTAGATGAATTAGTACATGAATTAGTTCATAAATTAGTAGATGAATTAGTACATTAGTTGGAATTTTTACATGAAATTTTTGCCTTAATTCTGTTTATCTCTTGCTTATTCACTACCTGCGTATGATTCACTTCTTCAAACTATAATTTTTGTGTTCTGCAAATGCCTTCTATAGAGTAAAGAGCACGTACTTGTAGCACTCGCAATTGACATCCCGAGGTTGCGTTCTGGGTTAAGGTACGAACTTGTGGAGTCTGGCCGCGAATTTAAGTTGTCTCTATCAACTTTAATACGAGGCTGTCTTATGAACTTTAGTCAGCGTTGATATAACACGATGTTGATATATCTATATATCAGCACGACGCTTTAATTAAGTGGGCACACATCTTATTCAAACGCACCTTGACCGCAGTAATGATGGCGCCTTTAGAAAAAATGAGGCAAAGAATTGCAGTTGGTGATTCAAAATCACTGACCTGTCCTATTTATTAGAATATTATTTCAATTTATCGCATTTTTTTCTACAATTTCATCGCCAAATAAGTGGCTAGTGCTATATTTTGTTATTGTTTATTTTCCCGGATCCATCTGTGCGCCAACATAGATTTCTGTCAATATTAATATTTCTGTTCTGCTTGTTTGTAATTCGCCCTAAATTCTGTGATTGCCTTATCGCAATTCTATTTAATCTCAAGATCGCAAATTTATCAACGAGAAATACACAGTTCATTAGGCTTGTAATATCGGACTCCCGCCATTTCCGGTCCATTGAAATTTTTAATATTTTACTTCTGCGTTCAACCTGTCACTTAATTGCTTCACTTCTTACTAATTATCTTCACCTAAATGTAATTATCGAATGGATTTTTGCTGATGCAAATCAATTTTTTATTTCGACTCGATTGTTGCTAAAATAATATGCTAATTGTTAGAATCGGTGAATTCGTACAACTTTATAGTGAGGAACGTTGTAATATATTTTAGTACCGTCTGCACTTACTGATGCTCTATGCAATTAAGAAGCATTCCTCTAGTAAACACGCACCCCACTCACCCACAGCCCTAACTGTATAGTTATTCCAGATATACCATTACAGTTGTAGGTTTGATATATTTGTCGTCATCACTGTGACGTGTTGCAGATTCCATAGATCAATCGTCACCACTGTGACGTGTTGCAGGTTGGATGTACAAGTCTCCACTGTGATGTGTTGCAGATTTGTTGTATAAGTCACCAAGTTTGATAAGTCAATCTTGGTTTGACTTATCAAAGTTTGATAAGTTTGATAAGTCAAACGCAGCTGCGTTTTAACGCTGACAAATGTAAAGTTATTCACCTTGGCAAGAATAATGAACAGCAATATTACAGTATGAGAAGACACGGTTGCTATGACAGAGTGATGATGTCGAAGTCGGCAATGGAAAAGGATTTAGGAATTAATATCGACAATGAGTTGAAATTTTCTAAGCATATTGAAGGTCAAGTTAATAAAGCCAATAAACGACTTGGACTGATCAGACGCTCTTTAATCCCGGAATGGCACCCATTGAACCTGCTTCGCTCTTCAACAACTGTAAGGTTGAGGATCCTGCATTAATTGAAAATTTTTCTACAATGAAAACTACCGAACCGAGTTCCAATATTAACGGCCTACAGTTTGAGGATCAAATGACTGAACTCCAGGCTGATGATGGGGGTTGGGCCGGTGTTTGTGCGTTGGTGGCGACAGTCATTTTCGTTCTCGCTTACGGTGTCGGCTTAGGGCCTGTGCCGTACTCATATGCTGCAGGTCAGCTCTATTGTTAACACTCATTTCTGTTCATGAAACTTTGTGCTGGTTATTGCTTCATCTTCTCTCATGGAAATGAAGAAAATTTTCAATTCAGTTCGCTTGTGAAACACGGAGTAGTTCCTGCTCATTCACTATTATAAAATACAAGAATAAACATTAAGTAACAGTAGAATATAAACTAATATTTTCTTCTATCCTCTGCCAGAAACGTTCCCGGACGGGCCGCGCAGTGTAGCGCTGGCGGTAGGCGGGACGGCAAACTGGGGAGGAAATTTCTTGGTTGGTTTGTTGTTCCCGTTAATCCAGCGACACATGCAGCACTACTCATTCCTGCTCTTCACGACCTTCACCCTCGTGCTGCTCATCATTTTCCAGTCAGTATTCAGCTTAATATAAGTACTCCTCGTTATTTCTTAAGAGTTAAGCCGAAGGTTATGCGACTAGAAAAATATCAGCGATACGAACATTTTTTGATTTCGCAGTTTGATTCATGCGATTTGGGGATAATAGTTACTGTTGTCTCTACAAAAATATTTTACAGTAAAGTTTAGTTATTTACATGATTAAATACATTAGTTTAAAGTGAGCGAGTCAAGCTACTCTAAACTAGCCATTAATCTTCAGATGGCTACCAGAACCAAAAGCGTGCAAAAGTGGCCAAGAACTCGCCGAGCCTAAACCCGAGGAGAGCTCGGAAGTCCGACAAGCCTTGGTTTCTCAAACCAACCACGTTTGATGATGGCTGTTATGTAGGGAATAAAAGTTATGTTGTTATAGCAGTGATAGCACATACTGAGTTTGGATCAATTTCTTGTGCTGTTCTTCGACAGTTGCTGCTGGTCAAGAAATGATAGATGCTATAAATGTGCGCGAAGTTATGAATTTTCAAATATATCTTTGGACGAGTTCAAGGCATTTTTAGTGAAACTTGGCATCTCAAGTTATTTTCATCTTTAGGAAGCAGTTTTTATGTATGTATGTTTTTGTATGTAAAGGTCAATGCACTTCCCTCCGTTGGCTTCCTATTGTGCCTTACTCTCAATTCGATGTTAATGATAATATGTTCAGTCAGTCTTAAAATGCCTAGCACCTTACGAGCCTTGCAATAAGTCCAGCAGCTATCTCAATCAATCGTCAGTTATGGAAAGATCGGGTTCAAAACTCCGGATCCCTTGTGAATCAAGTCACGAAAAGTACTAGAATCAGCAACAGGCCATGGGCCTATTTCTTCAGTGCCGACACTTTTATTCTATTCTATTCATAATGTTATATTTTCCCGTCTGTAATCAAACGAAACCTATTCATGTGTTTTGGTTGTAATTTTAACGCCCCATTTGATTGCGTCAGTAACCGTTGAGACAGTTTTTAATGAAAATAAAATTACCAAAAAATTATCAAGGATATTTAACTACAGTGCAATGGCGATTATCTGTTCTAAAGTCTGTTACGTTAAGTTAAAGGCCATTAAACATTAAAGCCTTCATTAAAGCCTTTGTGAATAAAAATCAACCAATCTGAAGCCTGTTACGCTTCTCTTTTTGACACGTGGGTGGAAACTACATCTTTGACTATTTTTAGAGGAGATGGTCTGTCTTTACTGCCTGGAAGTATTTTCGTTTTGCTCATATTGTAAATATTTTTTTCTCAGGAGCAAAGGATTTTAATGATTGGCTGTAACACAAACGCACAAGAATGTAACTTTTTATGTGATCTTCATATCGACGCCGTCTGTAGTGACTAATTTTTAGATTAACTTCGTGAATATAATGTTGAATATTTCCTCGAAATTATATCAAAGATTTTCTATTTTATTACTTTTTAAGGTAAAATTGTGTTTGTCGTGCGAGCCCTGAAGCTCCATTTCTTTTCGGTCAGGTATAGGACCATTTCTCACGTCGACGATTGAAGGAAATTCTTGAGGCAATTATATACTGTGTTTTATTTCCACTAAACTAACACTTGGCTGAAATAATAATTCCTCTCCTCTCTCGTACTTCTTGAAACACGTCAATTAATTTTTTTACCCCTTCACTACTCGTATGAATTGAAAGAATTTTTTCCTATTTTCTATTACATACGATTTTTGTCCGTTTAGCTTGGAAATTCTCACGAATGGTTTTTTTAACACTAGTGTCACTGAATTGAAACTGAGACCGATTGAAACTAATATGAGTCCTCTAAAGCGTTCGAATTTATTTTTTACGTAAATTTATTGTTTTGTAATGTCTGCTAGTTCGGATCACTAGGCTCTGTAGTGTAAACAGTGTCGCTCTCGTGTGCTTCTCGCGGCATCTCCATGGCGACGCGCAAATCCAGTTCAAGCAAACAGTGAGTCGTGGCATGAACGCCGCTCAGTAACCTGCTCATCAAGCTTCTCCAATTGCAAAGCCGTCAACTGTCAGAGTACGATCATTTCATAAAGTGCGGTGAAGTTTCACTGTATCTATTCTACGGTATCACGTTTTCCAATTCTCACTAAAATGCACGTTTTCTCCGCTTGATGTTCGTATGATCACATCTTCCACAAGCGTGAAGTCTTGTCTTTGTACCTGCGTCTTGATGTTATGTTGTTGTTCTTGGACAGACCTGCTTGGGGCCAGGTGAGAACTGTCGTATCTCTCGAAGACCGACCTTATCATCGATTTTTTTTCGTACTGCGCTATCTCTCATAGTAAGTCCTGCCACATTTATGTAATATTTATTCATTTTATGCAGTATTTTTATACTTCACTAACTCTCATATGCGATAATTTCACATTTTTGTAAACGAGCATTTAAGTCGTTTATTTTACATATTATTTTTTTTTATAATATTGCCTTAATTAATTATCTCTTCATCATCTGTCTTGTGTTTTTCGACGAGTTGTTTGCATTATACTTGAAAATACTTGTACTCTTTAATCCTTTCTTTGACTCTCAAACTGAGATTAGTTTTGGTCCTCGAACTTTTTAAGCTAATATTTTCATGTTCTGCGAACAGAATTTACAATTGGCGATGCACGTACAAATATCGATATTCTTGCAGTACATTGTCTTATGTATTTCACGGGTAAAAATTCCTAAGCGAAACAAAAAATATAATGTTTGCCATGATGGTTACTCTAATAAAATGAAGAGAGAAACGAGTATTCTACTAAACGAGTATTCTACTTCTACTTCATTTTGCTCAAATGAAGCATTGATGCAACAATAATTTGAATTCCAATATACTTTTGCTTTTTCCTGTAACGCCAAGCTTAAACTGAAGAATACATGTTGATCGAGCTTCTCAAGGTCTACGACTACGATACGTCTCTGCCAATTTGCGGTTGGCTATTTTAATGAGCGCTAAGCAATAGATTTTTAAATTTTGCCATAGTCTTTAACCTCATCTCTCCCTCAAGTGCATAATGGAAATAATTACATCAGATGGGAGGTGGCGATCTTGTTGGGACTTGGGAAGTGCGTCTCAGCGACGGTGTCCACACGGTAGCCTTCGAGCACGGCACCACCACCGGCAAGAGAGTTGTTCTTGTCGATTCGCAAGTAAGCTTTATACATTGCTGTATGTTTGCCTATTAATTAGTTAGAAACTACATAGGGCAATAATTAACTACATAAAAACTACAATAATTTAGATTTGTAGCCGCAGTTTATTAACTTTAGAGATCGAATATTTCCTTTGTGATTTCATTTTGGCAACATCTACCAGAATTGAAGATTGCGGACGCCGGATCTCATGGCCCGCGCCCGCCACTTTTTATGCGTCTCAGACTAGTGTCGGAGGTCCAGTCGCATTACCTGTTAGAATTACCATTTTGAAGTTACTTTTTCACGGCTCTTAATTCACATTTTAGTTGCCTGTGCCTTCCTGTTCAACGTCGTATTTAATTGAATATATATTTTAATTGTTATAATCGCGCCAGTGTTTCTAGTGCTTATTCATTTTTTATGTTTATTGTAGCAGATTGCCTTAATAATTGCAACTTGCTTGTTCCTTCACAACTAGACAAATAAGCGAACCTAGTTCATAATTATTAAACCTGCTCTTTCACTTCGAGCTCAGCGTGCTTGGTGAAAACCAATGCAACCGTTCTAAACGTAGCATTTTTCGAGGAAGCAGGTACAGGATTTATGACTTTGATTACCATTTGGAGTTATCTGCGTATAGCCTAGTATACGTAGGGGCAAAATGTCGCATATGTCAGATGACTGATCGCCTTATCAAGTTATCACAGTTATGTAAAAACACAATGGAACAAATAAAGCACATCTCTTTCTAAGCCCAATTTATTTTGTGCAGGAAGTCGTCAAAAAAGAATGGATGTTCAAGTTAGTGGGCAGCGAAACTTTCGAGATTGGAAGTGCAAAGTGCGTAATAAAAATAGAACCAATGGGTGGGTTCGCCTACGAATATTCCCTTGAAGTAAGTTGATGTCCGATTGTTGTTTATTCATATTTATTATTCGTACTATCATGATTGGTTCAGTAATTCTATCATGTGAACCAATACAATTATAATTTTAATTTTAATTTTCTTGCACTTATAATTATTTATTCTTGTCTTTTTCTAATGTTTCATCAAAAATGCGTTGATTGAGTTTGCTAATTCTTGATTAAGAATACGTTAATGAGGAATGCTGAATGAATATCTTAATTAAGAATGCCAAATTGAGAATGCCCAATTCAGCATGAAACCCTGCTCATGGCAGGTCAACGGACAGACATACAAGAAGTTCCGGGAGAAGCAGAGTCGCATATTACGTACGTGGGTGTTCCCTATAAACTCTGTCATGCAGAGGGTCGTGCTGGAGAGAGACACGCTCGACGTTTGGCTCAACGGTAGCAAACTAGACGTCGCAGTGAGTAAATCATTTACGCACAATTTTCAATCGTATACACGCATAGGCTCAAAGTTTATTCCCCTAACATGGTTTTTAATTTTATTTTCAAATTCTCTAGTACTATAGTTTTGGCCCTGACTCTGCACTTTGCCATGGCATTTCAAATAAATTTAGAACTAATCTTTCTTGTCTTCAGAATTTTCTTAGCATACTTGTTGTACTGGCGTCAGATTTCATGTTCAAGCACCACAGGTTGAGTTAATTTAACTTTTTTAATCGTATGCTTGCAATAACAAATAAGTTTTGTCAGTTGCAAACGACAATAATTTACCTCTAACTGTTACAAATCCCTTCCTGAAATGTTGAATTGTTTCCAATGCGATTGCCCAGAGATATTGGAGGCGAAACTTATCTTGCCAAGACAGTGTGCGCTTCACGCTCTATCTCTAATGGCTGCACTAGGAAGCTTTTTGTTCGTTGTTGCTCAAGAAATTATGACATCAATCAATGTTAGACTGAATAAGGACAGCTTCGAATTTCAAATTGAAGAACTCTTCAATTCGGCAGTTTATTTGTGGAGAACGCCTCTGAATGAATACTGAGAGTAAAATCTCCCTCAGGCAGAATTCGTAGACGGGGGAACTGAGACCCACTTCGACGTGTGCGGGCAACCCGCGTACATCTGCGCTAGAAGCAGCGGGAGCAGAAGGGAAGGAATTATCCATGCCCTGGTCGTCAACGGGGAGCAGGTGCCTGAGGCCATCGAGTGAACTAAATAGCGCATGAAATTAAACGCTCGTGTGAGTCTTAGAATCATAATAATTCATCAGTATTTAAATGGCATTCGCGTGTCAAATTATTACTCTACTGCGCTCATGAATCCGATCACATTTTCGAAAAAACGAGTTCTGATTGAATCGATCTTTCTTCCAACAAATTAAAAAAGCTAAATGCAAAAATATTGATCAAAACATTGCATAAGTTTAAATGGATCTGATATGATTGGACTGAAAGTTATAAACCTTATGATTATCAATGAAAATTAATTACCCGTGTGTTATAAATAAAAATTTGGTGCTCTGCCATTGATCAATGTTGAGTGTGAATTTTAGTAGTTAGCAGCTTCTGCTGTGGCGTGATTTTCGTAGACTGGTTCTCTTATTCCCTCCATCTCTGGCGGGATGTTTGTTGTAGCCGCCTGGATATCATATTTCCTTTCGTCTGTGGCGTAATATTGTTCGTAGTCAGGTGTTCTCATATTCCCTCCGTCTCTGGAGTGATGCTTCTCGTAGTCTGGTTCTCATATTTCCCTTCAGTTGTTGCGCGATATTCTCGCTTCTTCCGAATGAAGGGACGAGGCTATCGATGAAAACGTGTCTCTTCTAGTTCGAAATACGTCCGAATTACATCAACATTTGAGCAAATTGAAAGCTTTCGTAGTAACAAATATATCCTTTTCCTCGTTGCCGAAACCTGATTCGGCTGCCTCCTAGAGTCTTGCTGTTGTCATAAGAATTTCACTGCTTGGCACCGCTATTTCCCTGCGTATTTGAACGTCAGTTGAGAATAGACTTGGGACATTTTGAGATATTTAGTGATTAAGAAAGCGCTGTGCACGATCAAAGAACACCAAGGGAAAATTACCCGTCCGTTACCACTTCTATAGATATCTCGTGATTCTCTGTGTGATATATGTAGAGACAACATGAAAAACTAATCAAAGTTGATAATAGAATTTGTTTACAGTCTCGCAGAAGTTGAAGTATTTTTATAAGTGCTTTTAAGCACTTAACTTTTTTCTCTCACGAATAAATGTGTATGAACGTCAATTAAGTGCGATAGGAAACGACGACGTGATTTTTCAACGTTTCCATGCATAGAAACTCTATGGATGGACAATATTTAATGTTGTTGATAAAAATGTATTCTCATTTCTGAAAGTACTAATGTTATACATTTTGTGTGTGAATTGCTTTTAATTTTCCAGTGTTTAGATGCCGCCACTACGTTTAAAATTCATTTACACCAGATGCGGGCTGGCTTGGAATTTAATGCATAACATTATTAGCATCAAAGATAAAACCAAATGAAAATGTACCAATGAGGTGAGGGCAGGTTGGCCTAGTGGTTAATAGTTCAGAGTACCAAGATTGGCGCAGAGAGGCGCGGGTTCGATCCCAGCTCTGTGCGCCAGTTTCTGGTCAGAATCGTCAAGGAGGCCGGGCGGTTAAGCACAGCAGAATTGTAGCAGTGAGTTGCGAGTTCGAGACCGCAAAATGCTGTGAATGTTCTGCGATGTTATGAATCGGCTACAGGCCTTCGGCCTACTAAACGCTGAAACCGCTATTAATACAACAATTGAGTAATTGACTATTAATACTCGCTAGAACTCGAGAAAAAGTTTAGATTATCGCTACTGTAGCGCAGTAGCTAGCGCCACTGTAAGCGCACAATGATGGCGGCAACGCGGTACCGAGACGTATGAATTAATCGTGGGTTCGAGCCCCAGGAAACTCAGGTAAAGTCTCGGTGTCGCTAGTGGACGGCGCATAGTAGCCGTCAAAAAGGTGGTTCTTTCAGCATGGCCTTGGGTGTGTGTCCCTAAACACTCGGGGTATGTTACATGTGGAGGATCTTATGGTCTCAAGATTTGTTTAGACGAGTGAAAAAATATATTGGCGAGAAATGAACTTTCCTGCGATGTAATCGTCAGTAAGGCACTGTACAGTGTCCGTTACATGTTTCGATGCTACGAATTTTCATGCCGAAAAATTTGTGATACGTTTTCCATCATTAAAGGAAGCGATATAATCACGAAACTCGATATTTAAAAATGTATTGGCAACTCAAGTAAGCTTTCTTTATAACAACGTAACATACATATTATAGCGAATAGACTGCGCAGAATCTTCCATTTAATAGACTTTCCCAGATTTCAGAGACCATATATTGTACACTAGGATTATGATGATCAAGCGATCCTATCCAAATATTAACGTTCAGAAGATACGTATAGCAATCGTGCAACACAGCCAAATACGGTGCTTTCGAAAGAAAAGAGCTTCAAGTGGTTGAAAAAAAAAACAATTCGATCGTCAGCTCTCCGCTACAGTTACGCCTCATTGTAAGGAAGCTGTAAGCTCGACTGTAGTTACGCCGTATTGTAAGAGCGTGTCAGTAAGTATGAACTCTTGCTTAAATCTATAAAATGAAGCAAGCAAAATGTAAGCGGCATTGTGGACATATTCTTGTACATAAACTGAGAAAACCATAATTTGTCGTTGGAAATTTAAAGTTTCTGCGTAAATTTGAAAAAAAATTACTCACATGCATTTCATACGGCTGACGTCGAATTGGCAATATTCTCAATAGCTAAGGTTTCGGCTTCAGGATGAAAGTATATCTTACACTCTAATAGCAGCAAAAACAATGCTTAATATAATAATGGTTATGCGTCAACTCAAGACATTTTAGATGCAGAAGAATCAGCCAACGAGAATCGTTGATGCAGAGCGTAATGTGCAAGCAACGTGCGAGTAATGACGAAGATCTTCAGTAACGTCAGCTAGTGTAATTTATTATTCGGGGTCTCACATGCTTGTTACAACCCGACCATTGCATGAAAATAACTACGCGAAAAGACTTACGGCACAGTTATAAGCGGTACTATATTATGTTGTGGCGCAGTCAAGTAGCAAATGCAAGTTGATGGCATTGATCGCGTTGACCAAGCAGGTGTCTGTTAAGACAGAGGGTATCGTATGGTATTGTGTTAAGGTGTATAAACTTAATGGATGGTGCTCCATTCTAAAATATCAATTTTATCATTAAAGTTTACGAAACTTAAAAAATGGCGTTACTCGAGTAAGTATAAGCTGAAAGTTGTTCAGCTTACAGTTGTTTAGTTATTACAATTAAATTATTTTTTCCAATATGGTTTATTTCGTAAGAAAGTGGTGCGCTTGGAAAATGGCACTTTTCTTTAGCAAAATGGCCTGCAATACGAAAGAACTGTATACAATCCATGGAAAAATACACAACAAATAAGTAATAGAGCGCAAAATCTAACATAAAAGAATAATAAGCAAATCTACACTAATAAATTCCATGATATATTCATAGGTTGAGATTCATAACTCGTTGTTCGGTCTCATTTGATGAGTAACACAGCCATTCTTAGATTACTTCTTGACGATGACAAACCTCTCGACATAAACAAAATCGCAAAACAGGAAGAAATAAGCATCAAATGCATCAACAAATAACAAACAATAGATAGCAAATTTAACAAAAATAGATGCCTAATTGATTCTACGAACGTTTCAAGGTTGAATTTCTTTCACTAATGAATGCAACAAATTTGCGCAAATGAATAGGAATAATTGTTGTCAGGAATCAACATCTCAGCCCGTGACGAGAGCTGCAATACCGCCGCCTGCTTAACGAACGGATGTTACACCGGAAGTTAGATTAGTATAAAGCAAATGTGTGTATCAAGAATACAAGAGTTTAGAGCAGCTACAGTAGAGACCTTGGCGCTGAAAATACATGAGAATATCACCAGAAATAGCTAAACAATTACGTAATATGTTTTATCATATGAAATTTAGATAAAACTTACAGGATTTGACCACACAGGCAGGTAATGTCAAACTCATGCTGAGCTGAGTTATCTCATGAGAAAATGAATAGTACGGCATTCGGATGAAGAATTACCAATACGCACTATATGGCCAACATGTAAACATAGATAATAAAATGTATTGCAAAATCAGTGGCTGAGTGCAATTTCTAGAAGCTCATACTGACTTTCGTAAAGATTCCAATACCAATATACCCTCCAATTTATTCAAGGTGACACATAGAACAATAAAGATAAACTTCTAACTATACTATTCCAGTGATAATAACAAGCTCGTTATAAGAATAACCTTAATAAAATAATCTCAACAGCTGTTAAATGAGCAGCATCATATGTGCGCACACATGTTTAACACCAAACCTATCTTAAACCGAGGCACTTGTTAAGTAAAGAATATTGCACCTTTGAAATACAATTTTAGAGATAGCATACAATGAAATGATCAATCGACTACTTACAAGCGCTAGCAGCCCTAAATAATATTAGAAAGCACAGTCGGAGACAGCGGTATAACCGCCAAGTTTTGATCGTTGAACTCAGAGGTCTCTCAGTGAGACGAATAACGTGCGGACCACAACCCAGCCTCTTAAGACGAGGGCGTTTCATTTACCTCATGCAAAATTGTTTTTTCTGAAGAGATGGAGAAATTATGGCTGAGTCTAAAACTATTTATGTCACAAATTCAGGTCAATATTTGTTCACTCATAGTCAATATCATTAGTTTAGCATGAGTGTCAAAGTCTGAATTTCATGAGTTTGAGCTGGCATTAAGAGGCGCTCAAAGGCGGAAGTTGGCAAAGCGCGCTTATTATAGCAAAAGCTGTTCCTGAGCTAACATTTTAAGCATTTTGCTCAAGGCAATTAAGTAAAATTGATAATTGGAAGGTCTCGTTTCATATCATTTTTGTTCAGAAGATCGAAAAATCTCCGGTAAGCATTACCAGTGCGCGCTAAGGCATTATTCAAGGCTCCTGGCTTTCTAGAGCCCTTCCGTTCATGAAGTTCGTTTCCAGGCTTTGATTTATTGAAGAAATTCTTGCACCTGCCGGAGGCCGAGTTGTGGGGTGGTCGTTTTCAGTCGTCTCCCTCGTCCATGGCGGGCTGCAGGTCGTACCAGTTCGTGATGTCCTGAGGGTTCAACAGCCCGCAGTCGATCTTCACCTGACATACACCCATAGATATGAATACATAACATGCACTCATAGATATGAATACATAACATGCACATCCATGACATGAACATTCATGACATCATAGGGAAATGTGTCATGAAGTGACAACATGATGAAGTGTGAAATAGTACAAAAATTCAGCGCATTTTTTCAACAAATCCACTCGAGTTTTCTACACAAGTATTTGTGTGCCCATAATATGAAAATTACATAATGCACCGAACATACGCCAACTAAAGTAAAAACACTACGAAATTGTACACTTTCCTTTACACTAGTCATAAAAACGTAGACCACGATAATGCATCAAAATGAAAGTTAGACACAAGAACTAACTTGTCCCATGACACTGGACTTCTGAAGGTGGAAGAAGCCCTTCTTGTTGACGACGGAGACCTCGAGTGTTCGCTGCGTTAGTTCATTAGGCGAGATTGCGTACTCGATCCTCTCATCGTACACGGGGCTGCACGAGTCTTTGATGACGTCCGTCTTGCGCTTGCTGTCCCGGGACCGGTCCGGCAGCAGGTAAATCTTCACGTACGGATCTGGCAGCTCGCCATCGTCTTCTTTTTCTAGGCCTCTGCGACACAAAGATAATGGACTATTAATTTAACACAAAATGTAATCCAATAAGTGCGAGTCAATTTGAATCTCATTCATGAAGAAACTGGATTATCATGCTCAGGAAAACGTTCATTAGTTATATAAACAAAAAAAAAAGCCAAGCTGACAAGGGTAAAGTACTTCACCTCGGGAAGAACAATGAACAGCAAGATTACAGTATGAGAAGACATGGCTGCAACGAGAGAGTAATGATTGAAAAGTCTAGTGTGGAAAAAGATCTTGGAGTTTATGTCGACAAGGAGCTGAAATTTTCTAAGCATATTGAAACACAAGCTAATACATCCAAAAAACTTCTTGGACTTATCAGACGCTCATACGAGTTCCTAGATGCAGAAGCAATGAAGCAGTTTGTTTGTTGCTGTCGTGCCCCCGAATCTAGAGTTTAGAAACGTTGTGTGGTCACCGACATTTGAGGACAGAAATTTAATAGAGAATGTTCAAATACGTGCAACAAGGATAATTCCAGGCTTGAAGGGCAAGTCCTATGAAGAAAGATTGAAGATTATGAAGCTTCCAAGCCTCAGTTATCGACGTCTGCGTGGGGACCTCATTGAAGCATACAAGTATACTCATGGTCTATACAAGGTCCCCGAAGGATTACTAGAATTACTAGAAAAACACCAGGGGCCACAACTATAAGCTAAAAAAACTGCGCTGCAACTTCTCCACGCGACAAAATTTATTCTCGCTTCGAATCACCGACATGTGGAACAGCCTCCCCGATGACATCGTTGGCGCTCCAAGTATGAACGCGTTCAAGAACAGACTAGATAAAGCTATGGAAAAATATATGTTCAGATTTGAAATGCCTAGCACCTTATCGAACTCGGTGGAAGTCTAGTAGCTACTTCAAACTATCGTCAACCATGAAAAGATCCGGTCAAATGACACGATTTTAGATCTTCTGTGAACAAGGCACGAAAAGGAAAAGAATCGGCGACAGGCCACATCAGGCCTACACTTCAGCGCCGAGATCACTATGTTATGTTATGTTATTTTATCGGGGTTGATACTCGGCTCAACAAAGTTAAAAAAATAGTAGGTCTTTCGCTTCGAAATTATTTGCACGTTCTGTGCAGCAATTTTCTCTATAACTTTTCCAACGGTCCAGCATGATAAGTGAACAGACATTCTGCAAGCTGGGCAGTCGTAATTCATGGTGCAAATTATCCAAACTTGTTCAAGTACACGTAGCGGCAAACAATTTCCAGTCTGTGATTTGTGGGTTGAGCTTGAAGCTTGTGGATTGAAAAAGTAGTCAATTATTCGCTGACGGTATAACGAACTCGTGACTATTTTTGATTTTCAGGGGCTGTATTATCAAATAGTTTCGAGTTATAACTCAATCAGCTCATGACTAACAGCTTAAACCGACGAATCCCAGACGAGAAATCGGCCGCTACGTGTATTTGAACCGCTACGTGTACTTGGGGTGCTACGTGTACTTTAGGTCGCTACGTGTACTCGGGCCGCTGCGTGTACTTGGGCCGCTAGCTGTACTTGAATGAGTTATAATAGTATGGCCTCTGGACCCTGAAAGTAAGACGAGTGACGTGCTCAGCTGTAGACTCACTCGACTTTGTGGACGACGATGACCAGGTTGTTGCGGGGGCCGTACTTAATGGTGAGCTGGATACGGCCGAGCCCTGCCTCACCTCGGCTGTCTCTGAGCAACAAGAAAATGACTTTAATACAAACAACAATAGAGATATTCAATTATTATTCGTGCCATTCAGTGTGCGAAACAAATATAACGGCAAATACATAATCAATAGGATAGATGGAGACACACTCTAGATAGATAGAGACACACTAGAATAGATAGAGATACATAGACAATAGGATAGATCAACATAAATCTACAGATTAGGATATTGATAAAGTAAATAAATCTACAGTTTAGGATATTGATACATTATGGCAGGAGCTGTTCCCTCATGAAAGATCGATTGAATAGACGGGAATACTTTTAATTATCGATTTTCTTGCTATTTTATTTAAAGGAAGCTCATTAACGACATAGTTCCTCACATGGTTCCTCGATGTCTGACGACCGTCTCGGGCGCCTCGGTAGACACAAGGGGCGTGAGAATACGCGCTGCAGACGCCAGGCCTTCAGTGCTGCTCTTCTCCACTATCGGCTCCACAACGTCAGTTGTGACACCTACAATAAAAACACTGCACTGTAGAACATCTATATTTTTATACTAAAATTTCTGTTCAAACCCGAGGACTCTGTGCTGCTTATTTTCCACAACGCTAGTTGTGACACCTACAATAAAAACACAGTACTGTAGAACATCTATATTTTTATAATAAAATTTCTGTTCGAACCCGAGGACTCTGTGCAGCTTCTTTTCCACAACACCAGTTGTGACACCTACAATAAGAACATAAAATTGTAGAACATTTCTATTTTGATCCTAAAATTTCTGTTCAAACCCGGGGACTCTGTGCTGCTTCTTTTCCACAACGCCGGTTGTGATACCTACAGTAGAATAGCGCACTGTCAAACATCTCTACTTCGTTCAAAACTTTTCCGCTCACATCCAAGTCCTCAGCGCAGCTTGTCTCCCCAACTTCAGGTGTGACCCTTACTTCTAAAGACACTGCAATGTAGAACAAGTCTATTCCGATAATATCTCGGCCCGTTTCAATAATAGTTTTTCTTTGTAAAAACCCTGGGATCATACATTAGCAAATGGCTCCTGTACACAGGAACGCTGTATTCGAAGTTTACTAGGTTCATCAATCTTGCATTTCTTTTAATGTCCTAAATACCACCGAAATTTCGACTTAACGGTTCTAGATCAGTGAGTAAGAATAAAAATATTAAGTCAACAATTTGTTTCAGTATTTTTGGCAATTATTAGTGAGCAGGCAGCTTAAAATATTCTCAAATGTATTATGAGAGTTAAGTTTAAATTTCACACACATCGTGTAAAATAGTAGAAGACAGTATCATCAAATTCAGTGCGCAATGACCATGCTGTTTGATATAATTCGTTGCAATTGAACAACTAACCAAATATTCATTAACAACAAAACGCCTGGGTCGCACGGTCCAGATCAAGGTAAAAAATTAGGCATGAATCACTCAACAAATAGTCACTCGAAAATCATTATTGATGATACATTAGCGAATGAACACTAAAGAGTTTGAATTCAAGAGCGGGGCGCCGAATTCAGCAGAACTTAGGCAAACGAACGCGTGTGGAAAATGTTTGTACACTGTAAGTTTTCGGCCATGAAAAATCTGGCGAGTAAACTTGAATAGAAATTTTTACAAATGATATCCAATCGAAACCATATAGGTAAGCAAAAAAAAAACAGGAACGTAGAAGCAAAAAATAAATGTTAACACTCGAAGCAACACTGGAAGAATTAATAAGAAATTTCACTTGAAGCAACACTGAAAAAATTAATAAGAAATTTTCGACTGGGAATCGAAACTAAAATTATTAACCAGTCCGAAAAAAAGTTAAAACAGTTGTGCCTCAAACCAACATTGTCGGAGAAAGCGTAAAAGATTATGAAGTGATGCAGAAAAAGAATTCTACTTGCAGTGGAGAGCAGAGAAGCAGGCCTCGCTAGACCAGGGTATGGCTGAACATGGGTCTGCATAGACTTAATTAAGGCGCGTATCAACGTGGTAATTAAATTCGTTTAAAATGAATAATAGATTAAAAATATACTCGGTGAGCGATAACTCAAAATTAAACATCACTTAAGACAAGAAGTATATCAATCTTCGCCTTAAAGAGTGATGTAAGGAAAACATAATGGATTAAAAATAGACTCGGTGAGCGATAACTCAAAATTGAACATCACTTAAGACAAGAAGTATATCAGCCTGGGTCTTGAAAAGTGATGTAAGAAAAACAAATATACGACTGAAAGATTTCTAATAACTCGGAATTTTGTCAATTCAGCAATTAGGAAATGAAGATTTCTAAAAGTTAAGTCAATAGAGATTATTAAGAAGAAAATACTGAAAACTACAAGTAAAATTATAAGCGACAAATAGAACACATTTCGGTTGCTGTTCCACTTTCATGAAATGAGTTCAGCACCAACATTTCATCGTATTAATCAACATATTAGCAAATGATGTTAACCAAGATTTTTCCGCCGCGAGAATAATCTTCAACTGAAAATTTTGAAGCAAATTCAACGCAATCAAAACTTCTTCTAAAATCTTACGGAAGATATTCAACAATGTTGCACACTTCAACCCCAATATTACGAGGTGGCGTAATTCTCCGTAAATAATATAACTCAAACTATTCAGCTCACGATTCAGTTATTTTAGTAAAGTTCTATCACAACCTAACATCATCTGCAAGATTATAAAATAATTAATATACTTCGATTTTCATTAAGTGCGTTCAATAATGAGCTATCTTTATATTGGCCACGAAAAAATATCTTTATATTGGCAACGAGAAAATATATTTATATTGGCCACGAAAAAATATATTTATATTGGCCACGAAAAAATATCTTTATATTGGCCATGAAAAAATATCGATGCAGAGCCTCACCCTGGTCAGGCTGGACGCTTTCCGCTGCTCCGGCAGCACTGCCAGCGTTGCCAGCAGCTGACACGTTGCCAGCAGCTGACACGTTGCCAGCAGCTGACAAGTTGTCAGCGTTGCCAGCAGCAGTTACACTGCCAGTGCTGGCAGTTGAGGGCTGACGAGGAACACCAGGCTTCACAAAGACGGTGTCAGCCTCACCAATTGAAGCTCCTGACGAGCCGTCAGCTATGTCAGCGACAGGCTGCTTCTGCTTCACGCTCGCCGTGCGTGTCGGCGTCGAGTGAGACGAGTCTGTTCGAGGCTTGCCCTTAGTCAGCACCTGGCGCGAGACATGGCTTATTATAGATGAAGATAGCGCGAGACATGGCTCATTATAGATAAAGATAGCACGAGACATGGCTTATTATAGATGAAGATAGCACGAGACGTGGCTTATTATAGATGAAGATAGCACGAAACATGGCTTATTATAGATGAAGATAGCGCAAACATGCCTGTAGATTAAGTAGCACTCTGATCTTCCGTAGTACATATATACTGATTTAAGTCATTCAACACATACTCAATGTAATAAATATCTTCGATGTTTAGGTAGAATGGTTTACATGGTTATACGCACAACTCAACGTATATTATATAATAATTCAGACAAATAATTTCCATGTTGATGATGTGAAGTGGCACCAATAGAAGCTAGAAAAAACTAAAAAATCAGTACAATTTTTCAGCTTTTCACAGTTACATGCAAATTTGGAAAATTAATTCCCATTACAACCTACATAAGTGCATCATAAACAGAAAAGAGCATATAAGTACATCACATATGACAGCATATATGACAGCACATGTAATGGCAGCATATATGACATCACATATAATGACATCACACATAAGGACATCACATATAATGACATCACACATAATGACATCACATATAATGACATCACATATAATGACATCACATATAATGACATCACACATAAGGACATCACATATAATGACATCACACATAATGACATCACATATAATGACATCACTGTAGGAACCTCCCTGGACTTCCATCTTATCCTTCTGTAGGAGGCTGTTCATGTCTACCTCGAGCTTGCCTTGCAGGCTACCGTTCCTGTGATCTACAACCTGAACATACAATACTATCAATAGTACCATCAATTGCTCTTGATATCATTGCTCTTAGAAATAAGGTTCCCTTTATAATATTTTCAATGGGAACCTTATTTCTAACAGTTATTTCCAGGGGAACCTAGGGGAACCATATTTTATTGAACGCATTTCTACTGGGATCCTTTTTTCTAGCAACTAATTCTCAATAAAATATGGTTCCCCTAGGTTCGCTCTCATAACCATGAATATCATCATCGATATCACCGGTGTTGACAATCACATTTAAACGATAAGATCGAAATTATTATGATTTCTATTCACATTAGCAAGAATGCATCAGGATTCATGTTGGTGATCATTATCGGTAACACGAATCATTATCTTCATGATAATAATATATACGCCCTCTTATAATCACGATTTCATTAGTAGTCACCGCAGCCACGAACCGTCATATTTTGAAGCCCTGCTTAAATAATCTCTTTGCTACAGAAATATTGCAACTTATTCTGTTATCTGCTCATCCAATGCTACGGATTCAATGTTAGTTTCGGTACAAAAACAAAGAGTTGTACCAAAATAAAATAATAAAATTTAAATATAAGAAGTAAATATAAATGTTTTGCCCACCATTTGAAAAACATAATTTAAATAAAACAAATAAATATAAAGGTTTTGCCCACCATTTGAAAAACAAAATTTAAATAAAACAAATATATATAAATCTTTTGCCCACCATTTGAATAACAAAATTCATAAAAAAAAAACAAATAAAGATAAATCTTTTGCACACCATTTGCATAACAAAATTCATATAAAACAAATAATTATAAATGTTTTGCCCACCATTTGAAAAAAAATTCAATATAATAAATAAATATACCCGTTTGCCCAACATTTGAAAAATAAAATTTAAATAAAATAAATAAATATAAAACTATTGCCCACCATTTGAAAAACAAAATTTAAATATAATAAATGAATATAATTTTGTGTTCACCTCGACGAGAAGCTCCTGCGTAAGAGGGCTGCGCACAAGGAAGGTGAAGCCCTCCTCAAAGACAGGGTCGTTGGTGCGCTGCCGCACAGGGGATTGCTAGTTAGAGAGGGAGGTGACGAGAGCAAAGGAGGAAAGTAGGGTGTCAGGAGGGAGGGTGGCAAGTTAAGGTGATGCGTACGTATGTAACTAATACAAACTTTGCACGCTGCTTCAAATTGAATTTGAGTGACACTTTATAGAAATAGAAAATTTTAAAATAGCGTTTAAGTCTACGGGCATAAGTGTGAGGTGCGATAATATAATATGTAGTGACATTAAATGTAATAGTAACAAAAAATTAAATTACTACAAACAAAATAGACAAACAACATCCAAAATAAAAGTATATGCTGCTATCATCTAATCAGAATAGGACAACTGAACATTTCGGCATTAAGCAACTGAAATTTGAAGGATGTTTAGAATGCAACTTTTAGGCCACTGCAGAAGCGGAAATATAAGCGTTCAAAAGAATAATTGAAGCCATAATATATAGAGGAATTGAAGCCATAATATAAAAACACACATTGAAACCGCTATTCCAGAGGCTCGCAGTCGAACAACCGCAACTCATGCCGGTTTAAAATAAAATGAACTCGCATTATTAAAATAATTGTTTGCGGTCGCAAGATTTACAACAAATTCCTTATATCATCAGTCTGCTTATATCGCAAGTTAATTAATTCCGGCACGGAAATATAAAACTCAGACTGGTAAGTACGAACAATGAAGTGAACATAACCATGAGACAAGAATCTAGTGTTCAATATTATTGTCGTAAATGAGAATTCATGAAATTCAGTTCACCGATGAAAGAGATTGCGTATGAACGAGCGTCAAGACTGTAAAGTGACACGAGTGAAACTGTGAAACACTAAAATATACGTTTAAAAATTACTTTTTAAAGACAACACTTCTAAAGAATCCTGTGTCTCAAATGTTAAAGATGCACAATGAATTTCTCATTTTATTTTTGAATATTAAAAAAAATCAATTTTTTAATTTTATTTATTTATAATTTTTTTTCAAAATTGTTTATTGTCAATTGATTCAGGCATTGCCTCTGACTTCACACAAGTGTGCAAAATTTCAGATCAATTGGACAGGTAAAATTGTGTCAAATATCAGTTATAAGATTTGTAGCTGACAAAATTATTTTTTCAATTTTTTAATATTGAAAAAAATATATATATATTTTCAAAATCATTTATTTTGTCATTTGATTCTTGCATTACCGCCAACTTTACGCAAGTGTGCAAAATTTCAGATCGATAAGATAAGTAGAAGTGTGTCAAGGACTACTACACACAGGACATGCATAGCCTATGTCCAGCCTCTGCTAGCAGAGGCGATCGCCTACACTATGAAAATGCTGGTGTTTTAGTGGCAACAACAAATGATATGCCCATAATTGTTTCATACAATAGTATTACAATGTGTGTAGTAGTCCTTGGTCAGAACCATAGACTTTTTGCCAGTTTTGAAGTTCAAAATTTTGTACTAAGCAAAGTAGGTACCATTTTCCTGCCTTCATACACTGATAAAAAAAATATTTAAATGGAGTGNTACTACACACATTGTAATACTATTGTATGAAACAATTATGGGCATATCATTTGTTGATGCCACTAAAACAACAGCATTTTCATAGTGTAGGCGATCGCCTCTGCTAGCAGAGGCTGGACATAGGCTATGCATGTCCTGTGTGTAGTAGTCCTTGAAGTGTGTTAAATTTTGATTATAAGATTTGTAGCAGACAGACAGACAGACAGACAGACAAACAAACAAGAAGCGAAGTTAAAGAGAAATGTTGTAAAAATGAACCAAATACTGCACAATAAACTTGACTATTTCTCTCAGAAATATGCTATCAAATGTAAGGGAGTTTGTCGAGGCTTTCGCATGCCTGTGTTGACTAAAATGCTGCGACAAATTAAGAGGTAAACATTAAATTAGCTCATGCACACAGTATCTATAGAGCACACAAAGAAAAATGTGTCATACTATCCAAGTAACGACTCACTTCCGGACGTAGTATTGGTACACCCCATTTAACCGAACAAAACTAGGCCAGGGAAATAGCAACAATAGAAAACCAACCAATATACCAATTTAGAAAACCAATAGAAAAACAAGAAGGAGCATCGCTTTTTGGAAAAAGGCTCACTAATTCCTCTAATTCTACAGTTAATTACAAATTAAGACTATCACATGAGACAGAAGTGAAGACAACAGTAAAGCATACCTTGTGCGAGGGCTGCAGGGGCGCCGCCAGTCCAAGAGTAGACGAGGCACAGGAGCGACAAAGAGAAGAAGAAACACACATTGGCAGAATAAGCAGCGAATATTGCTTTGATAACACGAAACAAAAGCATAAATAGTTTTTAGCGCATTTTCTCATTTATGGAAAAAAGACGCTATTGTGCTCGTCATGTCCGTCCGTCCGTGACTTCACCTCTTCGTCGATAAGGTGGGGTGTACGTATGTAACTAATACAAACTTTGCACGCTGCTTCACATACAATTTGAGTGACACTTTATAGAAAAGTAGAAAATAAAAAAATAGCGTTTGAAACTACGAGCATAAGTGTGAGGTACAATAATATAATATCTAGTGACAGTAGTCAGTAATAGTAACAAAAAATCAAATCAAAATCAATAGTAACAAAAAATCAGGCAAACAACATCCAAAAGAAAAGGATATACTGCTATCATCTAATCCGGATAGGACAACTGAACATTTCAGTATCAAACAACCGAAATTTGAAGGAGATTTAGAATGCAACTTTTAGGCCACTGCAGAAGCGGAAATACAAGCGTTCAAAAGAGGAATTGAAGCCATAATATAAAGAGGAATTGAAGCCATAATATAAAGAGGAATTGAAGCCATAATATAAAGAGGAATTGAAGCCATAATATAAAGAGGAATTGAAGCCATAATATAAAGAGGAACTGAAGCCATGACATAAAGAGGAATTGAAGCCATAACATAAAGAGGAATTGAAGCAATGATATAAAAACACACATTGAAACCGCTATTCCGTAGGTTCGCAGTCGAACAACCGCAACTCATGCCGGTATAAAATAAAATGAACTTCGTTGTTAAGAAAAAAAAATTTTAAATTCAATGCTGAAAGCAACAACAAACGCCATTTGAGAATAAGCAAATTAAGCAAATAAACAATAATAAAAAAAATGGCCGAAGAGCATGAAAACAAATGACATGTTCAAAATTGAAATTCTGACTCTCACTCAATGATGCCAATTATATTGAACGATGTAACAAAATAAAAAGTTTTGATTTACCCAGCCCATTCCGATTTCACCGTAACTCCACACCCCCACAAAAAAGTTTAGGGATAAAGTACCCCCAGGGGGTAAAGCGGGTACTACATTTTGGTTTAATTTATAAAGCTTTTCTCTTGACATGCCCGGGGCAACCAAATGGTGTAACACTCGTAAAACATTCAGAATTTAAGGATGAATAACGGAATAACTGAATTTAAATTCACCGAGGTGACCCGAACACGTGAAAGAAATTCAATTATTTACCTCAGCATCAACGCGCCACTTCAACACAACAGGTTGTCGTGCAAAGAAAAGTTCATTAGTGGCACTTAATAACATTAATTCCAAGACTATAATCACTGAAAATGCTTCCATTATCCATTGGATGTTTAACAATAGTTCGACCAACATTTTATCGACCAATAATGAAGGCCTCTCTACAAAACGATCAATTCTCAAACCAAAAATATCAATATATATTTCATCGATATAAAATGTCGAAAATTCTTTACGTTGCAAATATCTTTGAACAATTAAATAATTTTAACAGGAGAAATTGATAACATTTTTAATAAGATTTACTTTACATTGACGTGGTAAACGAGCCACATTATTTTCTATTTGCCGCTACAATGCAATATACGAAATTATCGACGTTGATCGTTATTGTTAATGGCAGAGATATTAAGTATCGAAGGAACTACGTACCATATTCAGAACATGATAACGCACTCCAATAAATATAGCGCACAGAAAGACACTATCTTCACATATTAAACAAAGATCGAAACACTTCCATACATATCCAACACCCAAAGACGCACTTGTACACAAATTAAACACACAGAAAGTCATCCTTAAAATAATATGTTATACTAGTATATTATAATACATTATACCGTATTATATTATACTAGATCAGAAATTGTATGCACAGAGAACCATACACAAGAAGATGCACAACACTTAACAATTCAGGTCGAGCGGACAGCAACTTTCTCATGTTTCTCGATCCAATCATCACCGTGCATCGATTCATTGATAGATATTAATCAACATTGAATAATATTTAATATTATTGACGAATTGTATGTTAAATAATAATGAACTATGCTACGAATACTAATCAAAATAATAGTCTAGGACTAGGCTGCGTAACTCACAATAAGTCTCTTAGCAGAGTCGATGATATTATTTGATATTGAATACCATAGTATTTAGGATTATTTATAAATTGTATGTTCAATAATATTTAATACACTGATAGTGAACTGTACTACAAATACCAATCAAAATAATCATCTAGGACGACACTAAGCAACTCACATTAAGTCTCTTAGCAGAGTCAACCCAGACCATAAGTACGGCGCTGTGCAGCGGGTTCTTCGTTGTCGTCTGCAGCTGCCTGATCTCTGCAAGTTGCTGCAATGCAAACAAGCTTATAAACTAACTCTTATTTTCATAAGTCATATTATTAGTGGACATCGACATATTTTCCCACTAATATGATCATCAAATTATATATTCACTATCAAAAAATTAATGTGAAAACGATTAATTCATTTACTTTCATACAAGTGCTACAACAAAACTAAAGACAATTTCAACGAAGCGTCAGCACGCCAACTATTGTAGTTATCGCCACGTTGCGGGTTTTGTCGCACCTCACTAAAATGAAACAATATAATAGGCCGCATCCAATTAATAAAATACCAAAATAGACAACATTATCGAAAGAAAATAACAAATACGCGAAATTAACAAAAGAAATTAAAATAACACGTGACATTATCAGCAGAAAACACGCGCATGACTCACGTCGTCGAGGTCGAGGTATTATACTATTATATACTTTACATAATAGTTATATACTCAATACTAAGGTTAACCCACTGCTAAGAGGGCCAGGTTAACCCACTGCTAAGAGGGCCAGGTTAACCCACTGCTAAGAGGGCCAGGTTAACCCACTACAACGTTAACCTAACCATCTACATCATCATGTTGCTCGCAGGTCATTATAATCCTGGGAGGATAGAATTGAATTAACTTCTAATAATGCTTTGTTGCAGCGCAGCCATTTGAAGTTGCACGCCGCTTATTCAATAAAAATATTTTTAATTGAGTTCGGAACGAATTCTCGTTGACACAAATAAACCAATAAAATATACTAATACAATTATTTTATTAGTTTATGTTAAGCTAGCAACATAATGTTTGATAATATGATAATAATCTGGTGCCAACACGAATTTCTTGAAGTAATAAAAAGAACTTATTACAGAGGTAAATCTCACAATATAATCAATCCTTATAAAGTAAATTGTAAAAATATAAAGGAGATAGAGAAATTTATTATGAAGAATTGTCTGCTTTATACTCAATACTTTTATACACTTCATACAATCGAATTATAAACTTAATACTATTAATATACTATACTTCATATAATCGAGTAATATACTCAATACTCTTATACTTAATATAATCGAGTTATATACTCAATACTTACCATATCAATTTCTCCCGCCTTCCAGATCGACTGTACGTCCAGGTTAGCTCTGCGAGGCATCACATGCCATTAGTGAACTCCAAACACGACCAAAAATTTAGGTATATCAAGAAGAATATCACTATTCATAAATAAATAATTATTAGTTTACGTTAACCTAACATTATTTCATCATTACACATATGTAAGACATATCGCAGCAATAATTATTAAATACATTTGCTTACAAAAATTGACTGAGGAATATTATTGCAAATGAGGTACAGAATTGATATAATTATCACGTCAACAACACAATTAAGCCAATCAAAGTGTAGGATTTAACAGAGCACGAGCAGGAGCTCTGAAGGATTGTATAAAAGGACTCAAGACTCAAAATGAAGCGAATCAAAACAGAGCCAACACCACGAGAACAAGACATCATCCCACCACGCCATATACCCGATGTAAAAACCCCAGTCGCAAACAAGAGAAAGATAATAATAATAAACAATACAATAATATTCTCTTCGTAGAATAATAATTATTACCAAATATATATTTATAGGGAGGCCAGAATATCTATGATACCAACGCGCTCCAAGCAAAAATCGTGCGCTTTCTGACACGTCTGAAGAAAAAAAATCTCTTGTTTGTTACTGTGCAACTTAAGTTGAGTTCACAACGGCATGGCAACGCAGAGAAACATTTTAAGTGGGAGATATTAATGAGAAACTCCTTACTATGAAGTGAGCGCTCAGTAAGGATACCTAGGATAGGCCACGAGTGTAAGACTGTAATTTACTCGACATCGTCATAACAAAGAAACAAAAGAAAAACGCCAAAAACGTTTAATCCCGGACCAGAACTTACACATCAAAGAAAAACGTGCATTGGGTTCTTTATAAATAAATTATTATTAATTTAAATTCAAATAGCTCAATGAGTTTTGAAATTAACTACAATTGTATCACAAAAACCGATTTCACGTAGAAGCCGATTGTTATAATTGAAAAATGTCAGCCTAATTAGAGCACAGCGGTAAAAAAATGTAGGCCGGAATATGCGATAAAATTCAAACAAATGACAACACACACAAAATGAAAACCGTTCAAAATGTCCTAACCTTGGATTGATAATTATATGATAATAAAGAATAATATAATAACCTGTATAATCTGAAAATAAAAACGAATATGAATAACAAGAAAGAAGACTGCAAAAAAATGATTAAAAAAGTCATTGGACTGGAATCATGTCCGCTAAAATGTGAATAAACCGACAATCAGGATAAGGTTGCTGTCGACACAACGGGTTGCTGGCCAGGGTAAATTCATGCAATATGGACGAACATAAAGGAATAAAAAAATAGAGCAAACAACGATAGCGATGAGGCAGATTATGCACTGATTAAAGAACAGCTCATAATAGATATAATCAGGGGAATGCGCATGCAAGAATTAAATAGTCGAGCTCTCGCCAAGTACCCGTTTGTCATCAACCTGACAGCAATGAAAAAATCGACAACTGATATGAGTCTTAACTATGATTTGCACGTACCGACCTAAAAATTTCGTGAAGCACCATGATGAACGCCCAATAATGAATACGAACTCATTACCTTACAATGAAGGGCGATGAATGTCGACCGGCGTAGGCGATGTATAAAAATGCACTATTTGCTTGACATTCGTTGCTGCAGTGCAAGTTTGAAGCAAATGAATCGTATAATTCACAAATACTTTGAAAAAAGTAGCATGCATCACGCTGACTACACTTGAAGATATATATTGTCAAAAACAATGTCAAGCAAAGGAGATGCAGACCCAGACTACAGATTCATCTACATACGTTGTATGAGCATCGTTGATTGTCGTTCAAGCTAGTTTCTAGAGTGGCCGCGTATCTAGAACGCTAGTTCCATAATTAAACCGATGAACTAGCGAGAAAATAAAAGCAATTAACTAAGCATTCAACGTACGCTATCTCACTACAAGCATTGACAACTCTGTACGACATAATAGTTTCGAATTTCATGCTCTCAAAATACGAAAACAATTTTTGCAAAATGTACTGGACATTGTCATGAGCTCAAGCTGGCACGTAAACACAACAATTTCCGAACATAACTCTCAGTTAATATGAACGCTACAACGGAACTATTTGTTTACCTTTCTATTTATAGCGCCTGCTACAACAACTTTCTGTTTGCGCCAAACACGAGTCACAAAATCTTTTCTAAATTCAAAAAGCTGTCTATTTTTAAAGGTTTCTGTTACGTTCCTTTTAAGAGATTTCTGCATCTATAGTGACGATAGCGTGCAGCTTCCGAAATTGAAAATTTCAATGTTTTTTAACGTCTAAAAAAATAACTGCGGCGGAAACTTGAGCATCGTGACGCAGTCCACGTAACAAGAACAAGCAACTCGGACACAAACAACAAATAAGTTGCAGGAGAGGAGAACAAGGGCAGGGCAATTACCTGCCCAGATAATCATCATTCTTAGCGCCAGGAACGTTGGCATCCCAGTCGTAGCAGCTAATGTGCAGCGTCTGACGTCTGATGACGTCACACTGCGCCTGATGTTACATCGAGTTATGCACAGCCTCATTATTATAACTAACTAAAGCATTATTCGTTGGTTACAGTTGGATGTCACTTCGCAGCACGCCATTCCGCATAAATTTAATGCAGAATATATATGGTGTAAATGAAGAAGATTCTTCGAAAACCGAGCGCGGCCAATCCCAAAAGACCCTGAACCTGGTAGAGCTCACTTCCTAGAGTTCGGACCAAGTTGAGCAGATCAGAGGCTCATGCGAGTTAAATGACTAATTTCGAAGAATAATAAGAAAATTTTCGTAACCGATACCAAAGATCCGCAATCTCCGGCCAGCGATGTAGCAATGCTACGAAAGAGAAAAATCGCCCAAGACGTGACAACATCAAAACCTTAACAGAACTTTGAACAATTGATTCGACCAACCACAAAATTGGAACCGTTAGTAAATCAGTGGGAAACGATTACCAACACACTAGTGTTATATACACGAGACAGCAGATCGAGTAGCACCGAATTCTAATATTATTTTATATTATTATTATATTCCTGCGTAAAGAACTTAATGGAGCGATCTGCTGCGTTCCACGGGCTGTGTATCGTTAAACGCACAAATTGGTTTATCAAGTAGGCAGGTATCTTATTTGTCTCTGCTGTGGGTAGCAATTATCCATATAAACCCTCATAAAAGTGAAGAGTGTGCGTAGAAAGAGCAAACTAGAAAGCGATATCATTCGTATAGAATGAAGGGTGACAGATCAGAAGGAACTGATGCACAAAATAGAACAAGAACATTACAGTAAGTATAGCGTATAGTCAAGGCAGACGACAATACAAGCCAAGGGCTCATTATCCATTTATTGGACACTTGGAGCAAAAAAATTATACTGTGAAGTATTGAAAGCCCAATAAGTTTAAATGGCTAAGAATAACGAGAATATATTCTCCTCCATAACTTCCTGGGGACACACACGGCTTCCAAATTATCCACTTTTGAAGGACCTGGATATATGTTAGGACGGGAAATAAAACGTAAATTTTCAGCTTTCGTCCAGGTATCTCTACCGTAAACTAATTTACAATGTTTCAACACCGATTAAACCTTCGTCTTTTTAACCTACAGCAGGATCCTTTTTCGGCACTCCACGGTACCTCTATGAGCGAATATATCACATTAAATAGCTTAGTAGTCAATTAGATGAATAAAGCTTGATAACAAACTCTTCAAGTGATACAATGCCTTGAAATTAAGAAAATATGCAGCAAGGCAAAACAGAATTTTTAGCGTTAGAAAGCCAAATCTTTGAGCAACATAAATTCCTATAAAATAACGAAAACAAAAAGCCACCACCCAAAAGTATCGAAAATAGCCACATAGAACCAGGTGATGCAAAAAAAAGGCAGCAAATACATGAAATTTATTCCGGTAGAGTGGAAAAGAGATTCCTAAGTAAAGTTGTAGAATGGAGTAATAGAAAAAATATAACTCAGTACTCACTGCAGTGAGTGACAGAGAGCGCATTTTTTCGTCGACGAAAACGTGAAGTCACGGACGGACAGACGGACATGGCGAGCACAATAGTGCATTTTTTCCTTAAATGAGAAAATGCGCTGAAGAGGCAGCAAAATCATGAAATTTATTCCAATAGAGCGGAAAAGAGATTCCAAAGTTAAAGTTGTGGAATGGAGTAATAAAAAAAAGCAGGAAAAAATAAAAAAGGGGGAAAAAGAAAAGGAAAAAAGGAACAAGACATCAAGCGTGGCAAGTCAACACGCTTCTCTATAGCTCACTCGTCACGCATACACCGACGACTTCGTGTTACGGCTGCATGCCTGTTGAAGCTAATTTTATAGGCATGAAGCTTAAACACAAGTACGAGTCAAAGATGCGTTCCCTTTTCTAGATTAGACAATAAATAATTTCATTGAGGCCAAACAAATCGATTCCAAACCCAGAGTCGTGCAGAATTAATGCTAATCTACAAGAAGATCAGCAGTTTCACCGCCGTGGTGCACACGAAGCTTCAGGTTTTGCGGAAAATAGCATACAAATTCTAAAATTATTTTCAAGACAGGTAGGTTTTACTTTAATTGGAGGCAGGTGGAGATTGATTATATAATTACGCTTTAATCAATCACAAAGCACCACCTGCTTTTTTATCGACCGAATTATTCCATCAGAATCAAAATAAAGTTTTTGGAAAAACTGAAAGTAAGTTTTCATATTAAACTGTCCCGTCTCCAATACTGTTAAATCCTGGATTAGCTTGCATTAAGTTGGAAGTAGTTTTCACGTAGGGATGCTCGTAATGCCGATTTGTTTACAAGTTGAATGCACAAGTTCTTGTTAAGCATATAACACAACACTCGTTATAAAGATCGCACCATCACCGCAACACAAGCGGGGCCATCACGAGTCGTACGAATAACTTTCAACAGTGAATGCGAACTCTGGGCACGTTGTGGATGTACAAGATATTTGATATTGTTATTACAGTGGTGGGGGTAGTTTGAAAAATAAAAGGTAATAGAAATTAACAAGATGGCTAAGGTTTTTGAGTTCTAAATGAGCAAGCACAATTAACAAGTTTGAAACGTTGGTTTCAAGCAAGATATTTTCTCAGTGACTCAAAAACGAAAATCAAATCTGCGCGTTAAATATTCCACCATAATAAAATATTTTCGCAAGTTATTAGAACAAACTCTGAAATGAGACTATCGTCGCCACTAGACTAGACCAGTATCACAGTCACTGGAGTTTCAACACCACAAGCATGCTGTCGTAAAGTTCATACGGCGCGTGTTGGCCCGGAACAAAATAACACACGGGGCCTTTTGGGGGTATGTCACACGAAGCCTTGGGGTATTTCACACGGGGCCTTTTGGTATGTCACACGGGAACTTGGGGTTATCACTGCATGGTTACCTCCCTAATGGATCATCATTTTCGAGGGAGTTGAGAGGAGAATAGTCATAGTCCCAGCACTCTATGCTGATGCTCTGACGCCTGATCACATTAGCCAACGCCTGTAGATGGCAACCACAAGCCCCGAGTCAAGAACTTTTTGTTCAACAGAGGTTGAGTTGAGGTTGTGAACTCAACAGAGGTTGAGNGCCAACGCCTGTAGATGGCAACCACAAGCCCCGAGTCAAGAACTCTTTGTTCAACAGAGGTTGAGTTGCGGTTGTGAACTCAACAGAGGTTGAGTTGAGGTTGTGAACTCAACAGAGGTTGAGGTCATCACAAAACATTACAGTGTGATGTCTTCCAAGGTATTTTCCCATTGCCGATGGATTATAGTTTGCAAGCAACTTACGAACGCAGTTGGGAGTGAAAGAAGTTTGGGGGAAAATGAGTTTGAAGGTTTGATCAATTACCAATAAAATAGATTAGCAATCAACGGAGATACGTTCGTGTGACACATACAGCATTGAATAGAATTTCAGTGCTGATATTCGAACTCTTGAATATATTAAAGTGTTTGATATTCGAACACTTGAGCACATCATACAGGAGACACATACACCGTGAAAATAATATGAAATGAGGTACGGTTAGGTGAAATGAGAATAAATAAAGAAAAGAACACGGGACTCATGTTGATACACCACAATCGTATGAATCAAGCACAGAGATGAATAAATGTCATGCTTCTGAAAATGAAGAGGAAAATTAAATGAAAGACAGACATACTAATGAAGATGTGTTTGCTACCGGCAGGTGATACGTGCAACAATATACATGTTGTTAATGAAGCTCTAAGCTAACAACACAATAAAGGCTTGAATAAGCTCTGTCCGGAATGAATTTCCCTAATAACGGGTGGAATGCCACCCAATTCTAGAGCGTTGGTGCGGTAAAAATAGAACCGTAACATGCATCACGTTTAGACGTGCCAATCTGCTGATTTCGACGTTTTTCGACACAGCGGGAAAGCTTTTGATTATTGAGAGCTATGAGGAACTTTTCACACGAAGGTGCAAGCTAGCTCTTGCCGGCACCACACATTAAGTGGTCTTGCAAACAATTAAATATTGACACAAAGCTAGCACTACATGTCGAGTAAAAGCGGCTCGAAATACCGCGAGATGGCATTTCGGCTAACGAGTTTGGGTTCGTTACATTTACATTTATTCCGACTAACAGTGCGTGAATCTGTAAATGCCTCTAAGAACAATTATTCATGCAAACAGATGGTGAAGCAGAAAATAGAAGTAAATTAATAACGCAAGTGAATGTTCACGTGGACTGAACATTTGCGATGACAAAATTTCCAAGGCACAGCACGGATGTCACGAGGAAATACGCGCATAACATCAGTAGGGAATGCCTGCCGTGACGTTAATAAAAACATCCGGCGCAGAATCAAATCCTTCGTCTTCGGGGATTAATTTGAATTTCAAGGCACATAGATGTTTTTCAGGATAACAATTCCCCCATAACGACCTGATCACGAAGAAGGCTGTAGAGGAAGGCGTTGAATCCCACAGTAACCTCGACAACAAAACCCAACGACGACCGTAAAAACAACGACCGCGATGGGAATTATATTCCTGCCACTAATAAGAAGACAAGAAGAGAACTGCAGCTGGCAGAAGGAAGTCAATGAGGAGACAGATGCTGAAGATCTTCCCAACGACGACAGCAAAAACAACGACCGAGATGAGAATTATCTACCAGCCACCAATAACAAGACGAGTAGAAGAGAACTGCAGCTGGCAGAAGGAAGTCAATGTGAAGACAGATGCTGAAGATCTCACCTGCCCAGATGTTCATCCTTCTTCATGCCGTCATCCAAATCAAAGAGCTCGCATTCGAGCTCCTGACGATGCAGCACCTCAATAAGATACTGTACGAGAGGATAGAATAAGATACTGTACACAGTATCTAAGATACTGTAAATACTGTACCTTACTACCTATAAGGTACTGTACCTCAATAAGATACTGTACGAGAGGATAGAATAAGATACTGTACACAGTATCTAAGATACTGAATACTGTACCTTACTACCTATAAGATACTGTACCTCAATAAGATACTGTACCTCAATAAGATACTGCACACAGTATCTAAGATACTGTGAATACTGTACCTTACTACCTATAAGGTACTGTACCCCAATAAGATACTGTACGAGAGGATAGAATAAGATACTGTACACAGTATCTATATATAAGATACTGTGAATACTGTACCTTACTACCTATAAGATACTGTACCTCAATAAGATACTGTACCTCAATAAGATACTGTACCTCAATAAGATACTGTACCTCAATAAGATACTGTACGAGAGGAGTGGCCCCGTTACACACACGGCTAACTTGAAACCCAAACATAAGTTAAACCTTGTTGTAGCTTCGTTAAAATATTATGAAGACCTTGGGAGTGTAAAAAATATCTCAATTACTTGCATAGTTCACATCCGTAAAGCTTACTCAGGGGCTACATAAGTGGAAAATTATGAGTAACTTCAGGCAATTATTGAGTAGCCAGGTACGAGTAATTACTCAGACCGTATTAAATCCATGTACACGGTAGGTACGTAGTAGACCCTTCGCGAATACTGAGTGTACAGTATCTAAGATACTGTGAATACTGTACCTTACTACCTATAAGGTACTGTACCTCAATAAGAAACTGTACGAGAGGATAGAATAATATACTGTACCAGTATCTAAGATACTGTGAATACTGTACCTTACTACCTATAAGATACTGTACCTCAATAAGATACTGTATGAGTGGAGTGGCCACGTTACACACACACAGCTAACTTGCACACCAAACATAGTTAAACCTTCGGGTTTCGGAAAGATATTATGAAAACCCTAGGAGTGTTAAAAATATCTCAATTACTTGCATCGTTCACATCCGTAAAGCTTCCTCAGAGGCAACACAAGTGGAAATATATCAGTAACTTCAGGTAATTATTGAGTAGCCAGGTACGAGTAATTACTCAGACCGTATTAAATCCATGTACACGGTAGGTACGTAGTAGACCCTTCGCGAATACTGAGTGTACTTGAATGAGAACTTGGTTGGTCTCCGATGAGGAGGTTACTGGTTCCCTCACAGTTTCAGAGGCATTAATAACCACTACACTGATGTTTCTATGAATAATTTGACGATCGTAAACAAAAACGAGCAAAAACGAGAAAAAAATGTATCAAACCTTAGCGAATGATTAGAAATAAACACGAGGTATTCGTAACACTTGGTCGAAAATGTTGGTCCGGCACGACTAAGCATCCCCTCTAGTAATAAAATATTTAATGCTTAACATGATCAGTTATTCATACAAGTTTATACTTATCCCTTAACTCGAAGAAAGTGGCATTCGGCGGCATAGCGCGATTGCAGGGCCTCATATACCGAATCATGGCATTTGGCGCGATAATTCCAGTTATTCTCCTACTGAGAGCCTTCAGACAAGAAACTTCCAACGTGCAAAGAATTAACCAGTTCAGTAAATATTTCTTTAATTGATGTTAATTCTTATTTCCCCCACACGATGAATATTTTGTAACGATAAAATAGAGGTAGCGATCTATAAAACGATTCCAGACATTAATTCCTAGAAGTTTAATATTGACACAGGACGATGAGTGAAAGTTGGCAATGGCAGAAAAAAAAAAACAAAAAAAATATATGAACGACTTCAGACAGCAATCAAGTAAAATAAATCATGACAATTAATCATAACCCACAAGAGAATATGAAAAATGACGCTCACAGTCACACGTGACTTGAAGCTTACTTATCAAGCAATCCAATCACACACTATTAACAATTCTGGAGTTCATAGGAGATAACTCCAAACCGTGAATCAATAAAGATTAATTCTCTCTGATGAATCACTTATTCTTAAAGTATCACGTCATCTAGAGTTCGTGTCACTAGTTACAGCGAGCTAGTATAGTTAAGCCAGGTGGCCATAGCTAGTATATTACCTCATCTAGAGGCCATGTCACTGACTAGGTAGGGAGAGCTAGTAGATATAGGTACATAGATCTACATAATGACGGTAACTAGAGTTTAATTAGTCAGACCTCGCAGCAGTAGTTCCACTTAGGGTTGATGGTGTGAGAGCTACTAGGTATAATGTACATAAATCTACCTAATGACGGTAATTAGAGTTTAATTAGTCAGACCTCGCAGCAGTAGTTCCACTTAGGGTTGATGGTGTTGTTGATAGTCTTGGTCTGGAACTTTTGTGCGCCCAGACGCAGCACACAGTACGGGTCGCTCTTGCCGGTGCCCAACACGCCGATGTCTTTCTTCATCAGGTTCTGGGCCTCGATTACGTGAACACGCAACACTCCCTGAAATAAGATCAAGTTAATAGGGATATAGGGATAAGTTAATAATAGTTAAGTTAATAAGCTAATAATAGGGATAAGTTAATAGGGATAAACAAAAAAAAGATTCCTATCTTCATAGAGTAAACGCAACATCACATCAACATCCATCAGATTTGACGGGCGACATCGTCAAGGCCAGAATAGAATTCAAATTATTGGAAATCACTATTTTTTTTAATCCAATATTGACTGAGAAGAAAATGCATTTATTAATACAATCAAGGACGAAGAAAGATTCCCAATAATGGCAACACATCACGGCCTCGAGAACTAGGGGACAAAAAAAAACGGAAGCTTCTGTAAGGAATTACACAGTACTATATGGAATTACACACGGAAGCCACTGTATGGAATTACACACGGAAGCCACCGTATGGAATTACACAGAGACTCACGGCTGGAGCAGGACTCTTAAGCTCGACCATGTTGATGTTCTGGACGAGCTGGATGGAGTAGTCTTATTATATTTAATGTTAGACTCACAGCTGGANACACGGAAGCCACTGTATGGAATTACACACGGAAGCCACTGTATGGAATTACACACGGAAGCCACTGTATGGAATTACACACGGAAGCCACTGTATAGAATTACACACGGAAGCCACTGTATGGAATTACATACGGTACCCAGTGTATGGAATTACACAGAGACTCACAGCAGGAGCAGGACTCTTAAGCTCGACCATGTTGATGTTCTGGACGAGCTGGATGGGGTAGCGGTTTGGCAGGACCATGAGAGCAGCGATCTGCTCCACGACGATGCTGCGCAGGATGTCACTGCCTCACACAAGCATTATTCGTCAATATAAATATTCAGCTTCATCAGAAAACAAAATTGTCGGAGTAAAGTGGTATTAACAATCCGTCATGGGATAAAAATAAAAATCGTAATTTCTGTCATAAAAAAAGAGCGGAAACATAAACGGCAGGAATTTCAAGCAATGTCACACAACATTGTCGACGTTAAGTGGTATTAACTATCCGTCATGAGATAAAAATACAAATAAAAATCTTAATTTCCATCATAAAAACAAACAAAAAGAGTATAGCTCGAAAAAGAGTATGTCGTTATGTATAACAAACAGCAGCATAGCACATGATGCCAGGCATGTCGAACACGTCCGCTACACCGATAATTATATATATCGATATATATATATAATTGTTCAGATATATCGATATATTATCGATATATTATAGTTTATACAATATTTGTATATATTATTATCGATATATATATTTATATCGATAATTATATATATTCAACAATTACATTTATAATTGTAGTGCGGTTTCAACGTGAGCATAGCACATGATGCCAGGCATGTCGAAGACGTCAGCTATGCCGATAATTATATATATATCGATATATATACAATTATTTCGATATATCGATATATTATAATTTATAGGTACAATATTTATATATATTATTGCCACCTGATGCCAGGCATGTCGAACACATCAGCTATGCCGATAAGGTTGAAGTCGACGTCAGGGTTGTTAAGGAAGAAGACCTGTAGGCCGCCCACCAGCGGGATCTGGCGCACCAGAGGCTTCATCACGATACGCAGCCGTCCTGAGATCTGCTCAGGTGTTATGAGAAATTACCATCTTAACTCCATTAAGAAAGCATTAATTATTTTCTACCACGAAATTACCATTTTAACTCCACTCACAAAGCATTAATCTGAACTTACACCATGTCAGCGTCTATGATGATCTCGTGTCTGGAGGTGTCATCATAGACCTTAATTCTGCCACTATATTACATCATTAATTCCATTAAGAAAACAATAATCTGCATTCAAGACTCACACCATGTCGGCGTCTATGATGATCTCGTGTCTGGATGTATCATCATAGACCTTAATGCCACCGAAGCGAGGCGGTGTGTCGCCCAGGATAATCTTATCGAAGCGGAAGGTGTTAACTTTATAAGCCTTGAGGGCCTCAGCGATGCTGGGCTCGATCGTGTCTTTGCAGAGATCCTTGACGTACTGGCCGGCGTACGGCCACAGCTTGTACACGATCTGAGGGCAATGTATTACAGAGATCCTTGACGTACTGGCCGGCGTACGGCCACAGCTTGTACACGATCTGAGGGCAATGTTTTACTGATGAATCGTGACGATTACAACCTGCCGATGTTAATTGAATCGTTACGATCACAACCCACCGATACCAGCTGAATCGTTACGATCACAAACCACTGATCTTAATTGAATCGTGAACCCACCGACACTAACTGAATCGTGACGATCACAACCAATCGATGCTTATCTCATCATGACGAAAACAACGCACCGATGCTAACTGAATCGTTATGAAAACAGCCCACCGATGCTCATCGCATCAAGACGAAAACAGCCCATTACCGTTTTCTTTTTCCCGTGCGCACTGTTGATGCGGCAGAAGTACTGAATGTACTGAATGTACAGAGTACTTAAACTGTCGATTATTTATTGAAATTCAAATTTACAGCATTTATTAACTAGTAAAAACTAAATTCCTGAGATTTGAAAAAAGGTTATAATTTTTGGAAAAGAGTTTAAACTCAATTTGTAATTTGACGTTTATAGGCTCCAGGAGAGAGTTCAGGGTTTACTTTCATGTCATTCCTTAACGTTCAGCTGCAGCTAACACAAACTTCAACACTAATACACTTATGCTTTATGAATAACTGAATAATATGGGGTGAATTATGAGTGCTATCTTTCCATTTATGGGTTCAAATATGCATCTTCTTTTATAAGCTTTATTGTTTATACTTGCAATTTTTATACTAAAATCGACGGCATTAAGGAAATGACAAATAATAATAGAGTAAAACGGGCATTACATAAAAAACACTTAACCTACTTTTTTCACTCAAAAACGACTTAACTCACTTTTTACACCCAAAAAACGACTTCACCCTCAAAAACCTCACCTTGTTCACCCACTCGACTCTCTCCATGTCTGGGAAGGTCACCTGAAAAAATATGGCGAAATAAAAGGAAAATAATATCTCCATGATATTGTTAATAAGTCATAAATATTTGTGTGTTATACATGTAGCATGTGTCGGTATATACATAATCAAGTTGGCATACTTGAAATTTCTCCTAAGGTCAACGGCATTAATTAAGGAAAGGACAAATAATAAGAACGTAAAACAATAAAATAACGTAAAATGAGTCATAAACAATTGTGTGTTATATGCCATGTAGCACGTGTTATATAGATAATCAATTAAGTCGGTAAAGAGAAACATGGATGGGTATATACTATGATGTTAAATTTCTATAATCAGGGCAGAGCTCTTCATTAAAAAAATTTCAATTAAAAAGACTGTCGTTTCTATTGAAAATTTTCCTTGGACTTTAGTTCCCCCAGCTATCTAATAGGTAATTGATATAGCGGTAGGGGTCAACGAGACTTATAATTTACCCTAATGAGAAACTGATAAAATTATGCAACATGGTCAAAAAATGAATTTAAGTGCTATTTGGTAAGAATTTTCTCCGTCCTATGTAAAGCATGATAAAGTTTAACCTATAGAAGCATGAACGGTAACAAGTGATGCAGTATTTAAAGTATGAACGGTAACAAGTGATGCAGATACCAGCACAGCTGCTCGAGCACCACCATCATATACACTCGTACGATGCGTCATCGCGTGCAGGTGTTATGCGTTCTACTACCGAACTAGAATCCTTTGTCATTACAACGTACTAGCTCTTCATGTTCACATATAGAATAGAATAACGATAAACCTACGAGAACAATCGAGGATCCTTCCACAGTAAAAAAAACGAAGAAACGATTGAAACATAGGCAGTTGCAAAAGAAAAATACATTTTTGGTCCGAGTTTCTCTTTAGCTTCGAAGTATCGGCTGCTTCTATAGTTAATCTGGCACTAAAATAGTGCAGGCTTGTCACAGAGCACGTTGTTTACAGTTGTAATAGTAAAGGCAACAAAGCCAGTTGCCATGGTAGTGAATGTCATCACAGGACGGTGATATCATAGCACGATTATGTCATTATATTATAATAAGCGATTGGTCATTAATAATACAAGGCTCATTAATAATAATTAAATCAGGGAATTAATGAACATCAACAGAACATAGAACTACAGCTTGATGACGGTAACGTTAGTACTATGATGAAGTGATATAATACAATAAGAGTATTAAGTATAGTTATCCAAATGAATGGCAAACGAATTTGAATGTGTTGACGTTTGCCTGTGTGACAAGAGCTATACATACAGCTGTGTGGAGACTGTGTTACAAGGCTATACAAATAGCTGTGTGGAGACTGTAACAAGAGCCAAACATAGAGCTGTGTGGAGACTGTGTAACCAGAGCTATACATACGGCTGTGTGGAGACTGTGAAACAAGAGCTATACATACAGCTATGTGGAGACTGTAACAAGAGCTATACATACAGCTATGTGGAGACTGTAACAAGAACTATGCATCCAGCTGTGTGGAGACTGTAACAAGAACTATACATACAGCTGTGTGGAGACTGTAACAAGACCTATACATACAGCTCTGTTGAGACTGTAACAAGAGCTATACATAGATCTGTGTGGAGACTGTAACAAGAGCTATACATAGAGCTGTATGGAGACTGTAACAAGAGCTATACATACATCTGTGTGGAGACTGTAACAAGAGCTATACATACAGCTGTGTGGAGACTGTAACAAGAGCTATACATACAGCTGTGTGGAGNTTAGGCTTGATAAATTATAAATCACACATGAGATATGTTAAATAAGATTTAAAAACACATCATTTCAATGTATATTAAGGGTATAGATATATTGATCCCAAATAAATACATGAAAGAAAAAAAAAACAATAAAAAACAAAAAAAAAAACACATAAAAAAAACGTTTTTTTTACTAAAAAAAACACTCTGGAAAAAAAAACGTTTTTTTTTGCATCTCTAAACAAGAGCTATACATAGAGCTGTGTAGAGACTGAGTGAAGACAGCACACACAGGGCTTGGCAGCAGGTGCGTATACGGCACAGTTGTATAGGAGGGCTATAGGGCTGAGTTGGACGATTACTACAGCAATGCACAGCGACGACGCAGGCATAATTAACCATAGGAAATGACCACGCAGCGGTATACGTGGAAGATGATAATAGACGTAGAGCATGCATGATTACATCGATAGACGTGAATCCATATACATAAATTTATATACGTAAATCGATTTACGCATATCAATATGCGTAAATCGATATACGTAATCGTATTTAAAGTCGATGATAGACTTAAAGCATGCATGATTACATCGATATGTCACTATTTAAAGACGATGATAGCAGTAAATCATTCATGATTACATCGATATGTCACTATTTAAAGACGATGATAGACGTAAATCATTCATGATTACATCGATATGTCACTATTTAAAGACGATGATAGACGTAAAGCATGCATGATTACATCGATATGTCACAGTCAGGACCAATTTTTCACGGAACTCCACACTCTGCAAAGAAATATGCAAGACATTGTCTAAATCGCGAAACGTTTTTGCTCTACAAAAGGGTGTGTATCAGTGCTACGTACGCTCACTGCTCGTGCATGCTGTGAGTAAGAAAATGTCACTATTTAGAAAAATATAAACTATTTGTTTTTGTAACTGATACTATCATCGAGCGGCCAGTGATGTGGCAGAAGTTTCGTCGAGCGGAATCACGTGTGCCGACAAATATCTGAGACGCGCGATTACTGAAGGCAAAAATAGACATATGTTTTGTGCACGTATGCTATTGTTAGCATAGGTGAAAATGACGGCCTTATAGTCTTTATTGTAACGAGTAATAGGTTCGATTACCTTTGAAAATCTAATAGCGAAAAGAAACTAATAAATATTTTGTTTAAAAAACAACATAACAATTCATGTTTTTTTTATTTATTTTCACTTTTTAAGCACATGGCTCATTAATTCAGCTTTCATGTGATTTTTGGCATCAGTTGCACGGCGATCACAGCACAGCCAACGGAGATGCCGAAGACACGAACGAGCCACACCCTCAGCCTGCAGCTGCTGCAGCTGCCCTATACGCACAGCCTGCAGGTGCTGCAGCTGCCCTATACGCACAGCCTGCAGGTGCAGCAGCTGCCCTATACGCACAGCCTGCAGGTGCTGCAGCTGCCCTATACGCACAGCCAGCAGGTGCTGCAGCTGCCCTATACGCACAGCCTGCAGGTGCTGCAGCTGCCCTATACGCACAGCCTGCAGGTGCTGCAGCTGCCCTATACGCACAGCCTGCAGGTGCTGCAGCTGCCCTATACGTGTCTCTTATACACATCTAGATGTGTATAAGAGACAGGCCTGTAGGTGCTGCAGCTGCCCTATACCCTCAGCCTGCAGGTGCTGCAGCTGCCCTATACGCACAGCCTGCGGGTGCTGCAGCTGCCCTATACCCTCAGCCTGCAGGTGCAGCAGCTGACCTGCAGCAATGCATGGCACCGACAACACCTGTAGTGTCATCTGCCACTATATACGCCGGGAGACGCGGTGTGACAGACAAACATCTACCGGGATGCACAACATTGTTAACATCCTCGGGATGCGCAAAATATTAAGTCACGGTACCGTATAAGTTAAATTTTGAAAGCTATACAACCAGGATGGATAAAATAAGAAAAACACATCAAATAAAAGGTTAAATATGGAACCCATACCGCGGGACTTACTAAATATGGATCCCACATCACCGGAATGGAAAAAGATGAATGTCATACCACCGAAATTTACAAAATAAGAAAGCAATATCACCGGTATGGAATCAGAAATTCAAACCTCCATAGCTAGTGGAAGAAATGTCAATTTCATAAGAAGCATTGGGCGCCTCTTAATTATTATCTTTACTCCGTGTTAGCTACATGTAATATATGCATATCGTGGATACCATCAGAAAGTACATTTTATAGCAACACATTGAAATTTAAAACAAGCTTAAGATATAATAATGATCAACACCGACAAAAAAAAAGATAAATTGTCACACTGTTAAGACAAAGTTATTATTCTTTTATCTGGTCAATGACGCCGCCATGTTTTAAAGAAAGCAAATTATTAGATCGGAGGGAACATTCACACCGTGTCTACTTTAATAAATTATATTATCAAAGAATTTTCACAGCGCTCGAAATGAACGAAACATCCAATGCAGTTAGTTTTGGATATCTATAGCAACCCATGAGTGCAAGTTACAGCAACCCATTAATAGACACGAGCACATATTTACCAACAGGACATCAGTTGGGACAAACAAAAACAATTGATGGCACGTCCGAAATAGATTACTCGCATCAATAGACACAAGTGAAGCAATACATTACATGCAACGACAAATGAAGATGGGAGCAAACACTGAAGGCTCAGCTTATCACGAACAGATGATATCTGAGCAACAGTAAACACTCACCCATGATGGTAAAGTTGTGTACTTTTGGATAGCCTGGATGAACTCCTTCTCATCAGTGTTGACGATGGATCTCACCACGTTGATATTGAACTGCTTAGCACGAGACCGCTTCTCTCTAAGCACCATGAAGAAGAGTGGTGCCATGAGCCAGCCAAAGCTGATGTTGAGAAGCCCTACAGCATATACGGTCACCCACTCAAAGAAGCGTTTGCTGAACAGTTTAATGTAGTCTACGATAAAGCTGCTGTACGCGCCTTCTATCTCTTCTGCCACATCTTTTGCAACTTCTTCCACCTTCTCTGCTAACTCCTCTATCTTCTCCTCATCTACTTTGGTAGTCATAGTTGATCAAGTGCTACTTTACTATGAAATATTTCTTCTGAAATGGTTGAAAAGGTTAGCCACGTTACATATTTAACCTTTTAAATGTTGATCATTACATACATAGGAAGTCATTATATTATAAGAAAATGAAATAAATAAGGAAATGAAATTGTATTTAAATTATAATTAAATTAAATTATAAGGAAGAAATGTGGAATGTAGTGTGACTTTCCAAATGGTTTGCTTACATTTGCAAGACAGAAATTAGCTCTAATCTCTCTCAGAGATGATGCACAAGTCAGGGTAAGAAATCATGACAACTTTTCATTAAAAATTGCACCTTGGTTACCTAAGAAATGTATCTATGATTATATTAGTTTATTCAAACAGAGGAATCAATGTGCCAGTTGAAGAAGTGCTTCCTCATTCAATGGAATGAACATTGGCACAGACAAGACAGGTAGCAGAAGTGACTGCTAACTGGCTGTGGAAACTTCTGATTGAATCTAGACAACTCTATTAATTACATTGACAATAACTGCCCAAGTCGGAGAATGCAGTGCACATTAGCATGTCTCAGCCCTAAGGCTCTTTTAAACTACTGGACTTATTCAGAAAAATTGAGACAGGCCTGATGCCAATAAGCAGCCTATATTGCTGCATTGGCAGTCATTGAGTTTCTTCAAGGCTGAAGACAGCCTTAGAAGCAGATATCCCTGCAGCTCAGCACCCTCTTGTATTCTCTTGCCTATCCTAATTTTTGTTGCACTCTGGCTCAGTGAATCTATTATGAGCTGATCAACTGATCTGTATATAAGCTATTCCTCTCCTTGACCTATTACACTTCGGGGTAAGCCCATATCTCAAGTAACTCACACTTGCATAGTATTGCATGACACTTACGTTTTCATTAGCTCAGTCAAGTTCAACAGGTTCATCTCTCGCTCCCAACATTAATCATATATTCTTTATACAGTCATACTTTACATCTCAATGCTGCTTTAATTCTTCTCTCTCTAAACATACTCCATACCGTAAAATGGGGTAACTTAGACCCCAGGGGTAACTTAGACCACTTTTCGTTTTTTTAACAAAAACCCCAAAACTCAAAAACTATTTGACATAGAAAAATTTTGTCAATAAGCATTAAAGGCCTAATACTGAGGCTACATAACACAATAGAAAGATTTAAAAAGTTTGCATATCTAATAGGTTAAAAAAATAAAAATGTGACCCACGAAAAAAAGCTATTATTTAAAGCCCTCAGAGTACCCCCTCCAATTTTTTTATTTCTTGGTAAAATAACTCCAGGTATTGATGCATTGTAGTGGAACTCTTCTAGTTACATATGCAAATGACAAATTTTAGGAAAGTGTCATAGTTTACAAATGGGGGGTGCCACCCCCAAATGGGGGAACTTAGACCACCTAATATCAGCCCTGACGGGGTAACATAGACCGGCTTGGAAGTTAATATAAAATTACCATATATAACAGATTNTGGGCTTAACTTTAATAAGTAGTCATTGAGGAAAACGATGATAAGGGACTTTGAGAAATTACTGAATAGTGTGAGTTAAATTGAGAACTCTTAGCAGACTCACAGTCAACAAAAGTGGACAATTAAATTCCCAGATACTCATTAATAGGAGTAATTTTATTTCTGTATTATTCAAGACGCATTAACTCCAGCACGTAGTATTGGTTTCCAATTTTTGCTTCAAGCTCTTTTCAAGTTGAAACAAATTTAATTCCTTACTGGTCAATGCTGTTACATTTTTTATAGTTCTCTTCCAGTTAGAAAAACTTATTATTGAAGCTGGATACTGCACCTTTGGCGCAAAATAGACAAAACTGATCTGAAGCACTAGAAATCTCTCCCTGACTACTACCTGTCTCTTATACACATCTAGATGTGTATAAGAGACAGGCTCAAATCTCAATGAGCCTATAATCATTACATAATAATAATAGGATGCTGAGCATGGCTCAAGGCTCATTAATCATCATTTTATTATTTATTGATACTCTTGATTATTGTTGACAGCATCAAACTAAAACGTATCAGTATCACACGTTAAAAGTATCTGATAATCTGAGAACGTTGTGGACTTGTGGTAGGCTGGAGTCTGGACTACAGGACTAAGTCTACCGGTCTAGCTGTAGGCTACGTTGTGCTAGGCAGTAGGCAGTCCTTACAAAAGCATTCCAAACTTCCAAAGTATGTTAATAATAATGTTAGGCTATCGCCTATCACTCAGACTACCAGTCACTAGCCTGACACTAGGTACCAGTGTTAACGGAATAACGGTCAACGCTAAAATTATGAAGTGCGTCTTCAACTATTAATAATTTGTCACTAAGTCAGATTACTCAAATAGAACATAGTGTACGACTGTACGAAAAACACTCGCATCATTACACGAGTGGGATCACTAATCACTTCAAAGTAACAGCACTGTCCACGCACTGTCGTGAACGTTACCGTGCCAACTGCCAACATGAATTGCGGCTTGCGCGAGTGCAGCGCGACGACACGACAGCCCAGTGAGCCCACTCAAGTGTTGCCAGGTTTTTTCTTAGCGAGAATACCAGATTGCATAGCTCAAAATACCAGAAATTCTATTGTTCATAAACAGACTAAAACCTCAAAAGTTAATGAGATTATTCGTCAGAAACGTTGGTTAGATCGTCAGAAACGTTGGTTAGAAAAATAAAAAAAAAATTATCTCATGTACTGTGCATTTATCTTGCTTGACGATAATTAGTCAAATTGAACACGTTATATTTTCCCCTCTGTTTGGAACATTTGACACTTTTCTTTTTCTGTGTTCGATCACATTGACACTTTTTCCTTTTTTTATCACAGTGCGGCACTTCTTCCCCTTCACTCAACATGAGCAAGCCACGGAAACAGGTCATCTTCCTTTTGCTTATTTTCGTACATGCTTGCATATTGCAGTGATCTAACATTTCGGGTTTGATCACTTGTTGCGGCTAAGCAGATAGCTTTTGGTCCGAATAAGGGACTCCAGTACCCTAGTTGAAATTATATTTCATTGCTTGTTTCTCTCATAGGTGACTTGTGAAAACAATCGCTCCACGAATGAATTGGAGACAGGTCAAAGTAGACAAGTGACGCAGTAGACAGGCCAGTTCCATGAATGGATAACATAACATAACATAACATAACATAGTGATGTCGGCTCTGAAGTGTAGGCCTGATGTGGCCTGTCGCCGATTCTTTTCCATTTCGTGCCTTGTTCATAGATCACAGAGATCCTTGACGTACTGGCCGGCGTACGGCCACAGCTTGTACACGATCTGAGGGCAATGTTTTACTGATGAATCGTGACGATTACAACCCACTGATGTTAAATGAATCGTTATCGATCACAACCCACTGATTCCAACTGAATCGTTACGATCACAACCCACTGATTCTAACTGAATCGTGACGATCACAACCCACTGATTCTAACTGAATCGTGACGATCACAACCCACCGATACTAACTGAATCGTGACGATCACAACCCACCGATTCTAACTGAACCGTTACGATCACAACCCACCGATTCTAACTGAATCGTTACGATCATAACCCACTGATTCTAACTGAATCGTTATCGATCACAACCCACCGATACTAACTGAATCGTGACGATCACAACCCACTGATTCTAACTGAATCGTTATCGATCACAACCCACTGATTCTAACTGAATCGTTACGACCACAACCCACTGATTCTAACTGAATCGTGACGATCACAACCCACTGATTCTAACTGAATCGTTACGATCACAACCCACCGATTCTAACTGAATCGTTACGATCACAACCCACTGATTCTAACTGAATCGTTATCGATCACAACCCACTGATTCTAACTGAATCGTTACGATCACAACCCACTGATTCTAACTGAATCGTTACGATCACAACCCACTGATGTTAACTGAATCGTTATCGATCACAACCCACTGATTCTAACTGAATCGTTACGATCACAACCCACCGATACCAGCTGAATCGTTACGATCACATACCATTGATCTTAATTGAATCGTGAACCCACTGATGTTAACTGAATTGTGACGATCACAACCAATCGATGCTTATCTCATCATGACGAGAACAACGCACCGATGCCAACTGAATCGTTATGAAAACAACCACCGATGTTTTCATAACGAAAACAACGCACGGATTCTCATCGCATCATAACGAAAACAACTCACCGATGCTTATTACATCATAACGAAAACAGCGCATTCCCTTTGTTTTTCAGTTTACATTGAGTATGCAGCAAGAAAAGGTTACAGAAGATTTAAATTTAAGATAATTTACTGGAATTTAAATTCACAGCTTTTATTAGTAAAAATTAAATTACTAAGATTTTTGCAAAAGGCTCCAATTTTTAAAAGAGTTTGAATTTAATTTTTAGGCTTGCATTTAGGCTTCAAGAGGGAATTTTACGTTCTTCTCATTCTAATACGTTAGGTTGTTATGCAAAAACAACATTTATTAAGTGCCGGTTATGTACAACTGCAGCAAAACCAAATCTTAACACGAATATTTAGAATGATGCTTTATGAATAACTGAATAACATGGGGTGAATTATGAGTGAATTATCTTTCCTTTGATGTATTCAAATATGCATCATCTTCTTTTGGTAAGCATTATTGTTTATACTTGAAAATTTTATACTAAAGTAGGCGGAATTTAGGAAGTGACAAATAATAACGTAAAACGGGCGTTATATAAAAAAAACGACTTCACCCTCAAAAACCTCACCTTGTTCACCCACTCGACTCTCTCCATGTCTGGGAAGGTCACCTGAAAAAATATGGCGAAATAATAAGGAAAAGTCATATCTCCATGGTATTGTCAATAAGTCATAAACATTTGTGTGTCATAGGTACATCATGTAGCATGTGTCGGTATATAGTAATATAATCAAGTTGTTAAACAGAAACATGGATGGGTATATACTATGATGTTAAATTTCTATAATCAGGGCAGAGCTCTTCATTA